TGATGTTACACTATTGTTTCAGGCAGGGTGAAGGTTGGCGCCTATCTAAACGTTTAAACCCGCTGCATTTGTTTGCACCTGTCCTAAGTCAGAAACCTGATGTTCAGTGGTTGTCGTTTGTTGATGTGGTTCATAAGTGTTTCTCGTTTCTCGTTTTCTATATAGATTAGACCGTTGGTTTTCCTGTTTGAACGGTTTTACACTAGTCATTTCTGGTGCCCTTTATAGCTTGCTGTTCAGTGTGAGCCAAGGCTCCGTGTTGAAGGCCGTACTTTGACCTATAATGGTTTACTTTTACAAATTCTGACTTGGATGGAGAGTTGTCTCATTGGCACTCATACCACATCTTCTTATCTATGTTAATATGATAAACAACTCCTGCACCGAAAAAGGCGAAGAGTAAAAGAAAATGTTTCCTCATTTTCGTATTGTGAATTTTTCTTGTTCTCGAGCAACATGCCCCGTTTTCTTCAATTTCTGCAGTAATTCGTTAAATTGAAATCAAATGTTTTTTTAAAGTCCATAAGCATAGCAGCAAGATATTCAGGGCTTATTGATTTCAATCTAATTACACTGTCAACTGAAAAAGTTCAACTGACATCCAAATGCGGATCAAAATACGACCAAAAAATGATTGAAGATGTTAGAATATTTGACTAACTTGAAAGTCAGAATATTCGCGTGCTCTAATAAGAGAGATCTATATTTCAATTAGATTGATCAATAGCAATACCTTGATCTGAAAGATTTTCAAACATATTTAAATATTCAGTCAGGACAAGTAATGAGACATATCAGCGTGTACATTCTTGTTTGTACTGTACTTGTTTTATAATAAGGAGCTTGGACATGATATATTGTATACTATTCCCAGTAAGGAGTAATAACATATAACACTAATGACTTATTACAGTCGAAATACTTTAGTCCTAATTACAGCCCCTTTTCTCGGAATATTTAATGAAAATAACAATGGTTTTTTTTCGCAGCTGTGCACATTTTATTTTATTTATGGAGCAGTCAAATTGGTTTTAAGATTCTCCTAAAGAGTTTCACAGTCTTTTACAATCTAATTAAAATTAAATCTCCGCACTTGCTCCGGGAGTCATACACATCCAATCTGCATTCCCTATCCGATTATATCCCGAGTCATGATCCTGGAAGACAGAAACGACTCAATCTTAACATTTATGACCCGAAAGACTCTTTATTGCTCCATTATTCCTCGTAAGGTTAATTTTGTTTTACCAGAGACATATACTACAATCATTGATTGATTGTTGGTGTTTAACGCCACTTTCAGCACTGTTGGCTATATCGTGGCGGTCAGTTTTTATTGGTGGAGAGACTGTGACCATCAACCTTCGGCAGGAAAACTGACAACCCTAGTAAGTTAATATTTGAGTCGAACGCACCTGCCATGGGGTTCGAACTCACAACCTCAGTGTTGACAGACAAGTGATACAGTAGATGAACTACTTAGACCACTCGGCACCGAGGCCCTTATAATACAATTGATCTGGTTTTGCAATATACAACAATGTAGTTTCGAAGAAAAACGTGAAGTAGCCAATATTTTCATTCAGCTCGTTAATATCCCTAAAGTTTTAACAGTGCGATTGCCTCAATGTATGCCACCAAGGCATGAAATGCATATTCACAGGGTTTTCTGTTCCTGAAGAGCTTGAAAACATCTCGTCTGGCTTTGTAGTTTAAATGACGGATCACTATGAAATCAGAATCGCAATTAATCACTATATTTGTGTTGAAAATCAGTGAATGTTTTGACAAACTTTATCTCTGGTGTAAAAGTATTAAGTGACGACTATATTAGGAATGTCGTCATAAAAGATCGTGACAGTATAGTATATCTGGGACTTTTATTGTATAATAGTCAAAGCCCACTGTAAAAGAGAGGCGAAAGATACCAAAAGAATATTCAAACTCATATGGCATATGGCGAAAACAAGCTGACAATTCCATGGCAAAAAAAAAAAGAAAAATAACAAAAAACAAACAACAGTAAATAAAACACAACTAAGAAAAATAAAGACTGATTAACACGAACCCCACCAAAGCCGTGGGTGATCTCAGGTGCTCTGGAAGGGTAAACAGATCATGCTCCACATGTGGCACCCGTCGTGTTGCTCATGTAATTAAAAAAACCCGGTTTAACTTTTAATATAAAGATCAATAATAAAAGCGCGGTTAGTTTTCTTGGATTTTTTTAAGTTTATGTATAGGAATTTTGTGTCTTGAAGTACAGACCTTCCTTTTCAATAACATTGATGAAGTGTGTCTCTCATGTTGTGTGCAGTACGAGTTCCCATTATTTAAGGTGCATGCTCTCACATTTTTACAGTTATGGCTGGTTTATTCTTGACATAAGTTATCTCTTGTGTTTATAGTTTATTATACAAATATATAAAAACAACATGAATGTGAAACAAAGGAAATGTAAAAAAAAAACGTACTAAAACATATATATATAGGAAAAAATTCATACATGTAATTGTTTAGCTATCACTGAGATTATTTGTATGATTTAGCACCCTTTAGTCTATTTACAGCAGACATCAACTAGGTTGTCATCGCGGACTCCAGTCGGATGAACGATTTTGTCTGTAAAGATTTGTATAAGATGGAGGATCACTTATGGTTGAAATTGGTGAGTGAACACTGGCTCGAATGTCACTTGGTGAAGCTGTACTTCTACTGAGTAGGGACCTGTCTGAACTAGTTGATGATGGTCTTGATCGGGGTCCACGAACTCTGAATAAAAAAAAAGATAGTTCAGTGAAACACTATGTTTAAGAGTAATTTCTTTCATACCTTATTTCAATCAGTCCTATTTTGTCCACCAAGATTTCTGGGAGAACCTAAGCGGTAAATAGGACGTTAAAAATTTAACGATAGTTTGTGTGAATGTTATTATTGATATTCATCAGATAGCGGTGTACAATGAATAAACACTAATAACAAAGACGAAGTTATAAAAGAACACGTATTCTGAGAGTATTGCATGGCAATACATAGTCCCCTGCCGGGTAAAAATTCATTTTACTGGAACAAAATGCTAACTTGTTCTATAACTTGTCATGGTGTAAACAAAAAGTAAATATCAGGTCAATATCTTCAAGCATGACTAAAAACAGTGTGGACAACTGATTACATGAGTGAAAAAAACATTAGATATGATTAATAGTTCTCTAAAATTAGATATGATGTAATACAGTGTATATCTATTTTCAAATTATAATCAAATATAATTAATAGTTCCAAATATTTTTTCTTTCATTTGTTACAAACTAATATAGATTTGTAGCTTATCTATAAAAGGTCAACAACTTTTATCTACACAATGAAATGTATTGAAATATATACATTAATAAAAATAGATTATTATCATAATTTTTTTTATATCTATAGCATTCAGAAAATTAGTTTATACTAAATAACAAACACACCTGCCAAAAAAATCTTCAAATAATTTAACAAAGAATGCCTTTTAAAAAATGAGTTATCTCCCTTTGTACAGAAATATGGTTTAACATAGTACTCGAACATTAGATATGGTCCAGAGTTATGGTCCATAACTCTGGACTAAATCATCAGACCGGAACAAAATTCGAACTTGATCTATAACTTGTCATGATAAAACTATGTATCAAATATCAAATCAATATCTTCAAGAACGAAGAAAAAAAGTGTGGAAAGCTGATTTGCCGGACTGACGGATGGACAGATGGACAGATGGACAGACGGACAGACGGACGGACGAACGGAGTGCAAACCTAAAGTCCCTTCGACTTCGTCGGTAGGGGACTAAAAATGTGTGTTCAACGAATTTATTCCAATATTTAATTAAACACAATAAAGTTAATGCAAATGTACATTATGACTAACAATTTTTGATATTGAATATCACATACCCGTCATTTTTATTGAAGCATCTTGGTCTGATAAGTTTATGCCAGAGAACACACAAAAGTAAACCTGTAGCTATTCCAATGGGTAGTCCAACAACACCGGCTATTAAATCATCTGTTGAAAACCCTTCTGTCTTAGGTTGTGGAAATGGTAACTTTACACGACGACCATTCAGTAAACACATACAGTGATTGTCATCATCAACACCACAACTCTGGTAGAAAACAGAAACATAAGTTAATAGTATGTATTAGATGTAAGCTTCTCATATCTGATGGGCGTTAGCTAGGAAGACATGAGACGATTACATCTGATTTACATGAAGTAATAAATAGATATTTTATCTTTTCTCTTGTTCTAAAAGAGCAATTAGTTGATAAAACAGGAAAAGTGTCATTACCTCAAATTTACCAGATGCAGGGACACTTTCAGAAGATGTTTTGTAGTTATGGATTTGGAATGAAATCTTAATTTCGTCTATTTTTCTGTCATCATTTATCAATGCTTTTGTATGGCAATATGAATCGCTGTACTATCTTGTCTTTTTTGGGTTTAACTGCCAAAATCTGAAATTTTTGCTGATAAATGATAACACTTCTGTGTGAGATAAGATGACATTTGAAACTGCCCAGATGTACTGTGGATAGGGGATTTAAAAAAAGTATATGATAGGAATGTATTTGTAGGTTTTTTAATGACCTCCTTTAATTTAAGCAATTTTCCATACTCAAAATCATCGTGACAAATCAGTAAATCATCAACAACAACAAATGTATGCAAATACGCTATTGAAATAGATATGGTGCAAATATTTGTAAAAATTATATTTGCACATGCGCTTAATTTGAGTCTTTTTTGTATTTGTTTTCCTTTTTTTAATACGATTTTAAATGTTCTTTAATTTTCAAATCTAATATTTTCCATTATTATATTAGAGACGCAGTATGTATGAACTACAGTTATTTTAAGATTGAATGGATACTAGAAAAAAGAGGGTCCATGCACCAAGGGCCTGTATTCTAAAGCACGAAAAATGAATATCTGACTGTCAATAATAAGAATCCAAGTAATCATTTTACCTCAGGTTGATATATTTCACAGTCTAGACCTATGTACCCACTCGGACAGGAACATCTGTAACTATCTTTGTAGTTTGTACATACACCATTGTTAGCACATGGGTTTGGCTTACAAAAATCATGTGCTGTAAAAGAAGCGAAGAGTTTGTATTTATGGATAATAAATCACAAGATTAAAGAAATGTAAAATACATCAATTTTCGATACTAGTAATATAAAAGGTTTTTTTTTTTTAGCAATAATGGGTTTTCGGATTAATAGTAAGGATGTGTACGATTTGTATTGTGTTGTTTATAGTATATATATCTATAAAATGGGAAAATCATTAGTTTTACCTTAAACTATGCATTAACTTCTATATTATCAGGGTAAACATGGTTTTCGTTCTTTTTTTCTGTCACAGAAAAATCTATGGACACCGAACCTCTCCCTGTGCAATGTAGAAGTCTGTCTTCAATGGAAGTTGGTGCTTATGATTATGTTAAATTTGTTCATTTTGAACAGTTTATATAAAAATATGGAGATCGTTTAGTTTACTAGCGTTATCAATCATTGAAACTTCAAAAACTGAGCTATTTTGATAAATGTATGATGTAGATTATTTATGTGAACAAAACTTTCGACAACTACTAGCCATCAAGCTAAGTTTTTTTTTACTAATAGTTTATGCTTTCTGGATTACAGTTGTCACTATTTTTTATTTCCAATGCTGTCAATATGTTTTGCACAGCAGCACTTATCAGAAAAAAGATAATTGCAGATTGTCGGATATAAGTCAGGGATCATTTTGAAAAAAAAAACATACTTACGAGTGCTACAGTTTTTGCCTTTGTATTCAATAGGACATTCGCAGAAGAAATCACCGACCATGTCTGTACAAGTCCCGCCGTTTTCACACGGGCTGCTGGCACACTCGTCCAAATCTGTGAATTTATGTATATCTATGTTAAATTGAATAAAAAATGTTTGTGTATAGATATATACTTTTGTTATTAATTTTTGTAAACATTTTTAAAGACATTTTACTTTCCACCATTGATTTAAAAGTATCTTGAAACAACGTCATTGCAGTGTTTGTTAAATGATTCTTACCTATATTGCAGTTGTAACCAGTGTATCCAGGACCACACGAACAGGTATAACCTGTACTTGTTGATGTGCATGTTCCGAAGTTCTGACAAGGCGATGAGGCACAATAATCAATGGCTGCAAATAAGAGTAACATATAATTGTTTGTATTGTTTAAACATGGTTCCTGCTAGTATTTTCTATGATTTAACGTCTTGTCCTATATACTTGATAATATAATCTTTGTTGTTAATAAGAAGTTGCCATTTATTTATTTTATACAGCTAGAATTGATGAATGTCTTTTTTCAATACAATCGGACAATTCAAGCAGTCGGCAATCAGTCAAGCAACATAATCACGAATCATGCCTTGTAATAAGTTATTTCTGGATCATTCTTCCAAATTTTAGTAGTTTTTTTCATGTAGCTAACATGAAACCAGTATATTATAGGAACAAAATGTAGAGGTACTCACCTTGGCATTCGTTACCCATAAAACCAATTGGACAAAAACATTTATAATCACCAACTTGGTCCCAACAAGTGCCACCATTTTTACATGGAGAACTTAAGCAATCATTAACATCTAAAAATATCAAAATGTGCATGAGTTATTACTGAAATATATGATAAATAAAAATGAAGCAAATTAGTAGACTAAATTGTAGTATTACTATTACTTGTCAGACACATATGTTTGTGTTTTAGGATAGAGAAATACTTTAACATATTCAATACAGGCGTTCTCATAATTAGTAAAATTATCACAAAACATCACATAATAACATTGTAGCATCTAACCAATTTAATAATGTTTTAATGATTTTTCTTAAATTCTACTAATTTCTATGGCAGAGTTCCTTTCGTCATTCAAATGTGTTATTATACTCATGAAATGTACAATTTACAAATAATAACTAATGTACCTATTGAACAGTTTCTGCCTTCATATTCCGGTGTACATGTGCATACAAAGCTGTCCAACTGCACTTGACACGAACCTCCATGTTCACATGGGTTTGCCGTGCATGGGTCCTCCACTAAAATGATGATACAGTATCAATATTATCAGTGATCTTGCACTAATAGTTTATATAGTAAAATCAAAGTTGATTTGGATGAAATTATGTATTTTTCTACTTTCAGCATTTGGTGTCGTTTACCCATATACATCTTTTTTCATATAATGTTAGAATAACGCTTTATAAACTTGTTGCGTCCAAGTTGTTTGTTTGGATTAACCTTCATCAGAAACGCTCAAAACAAAAAAATCGAAAACCAATGATGTATGAGTTATAAATAATGGAGAAGCAACATAACCAAATGTGACATAAACAGAAGAGCCAACACAATCTAAGGTCAACTTTGGCTGATGGACTTGGAAACTTAGTTTCTAGGTAATTTCGAACTTTGTCGAAGGACTATTTATCTTTAAGGAATGCATGTCACGAGATTCTAACTTATGATATAGAACTATGATCATATAGTATTCATTCGTATTACAGAGATCTGTAAAGTAACATACCTCCTGCTAAAAGTGTCAAACAATGTTGTTCGCTGTACAATCTGTTAAAAGAAAACAAATAGCAACTAGATTTTTTAAACTCTAGATTAAAATGATTTGTAACATATGTATTAATTTGATCCTCTCAACTGTCATGTTTAGTCGTCATATTTTCACATTTTGTTTATACATTTAAATAATTATGAGCTTATGTAACCATAATTGTATTGAAGCATTTTAAGTATTGCCAGCATGGTAAGCTTGAGGGTCAGCAAAATTTCTAAGAGCTTGTATCACACTCAGGGTAAAAACCCGAAAGTGACTGAAACATAGCCGATTTTAATACCAAACAGCGTAACTTTGATACCTTTAATATTTTTCGACATTTTCCCATTGAGTCCATATAATTAAACTCTTATTCTAAACCATAAGGGTCAAACAAAAATTTCCGAAACAGTGTAAGGTAAACTTTACGTGAGGGAGTTATATCCTTATTCTAATAACGTTTATGACAAAGTTCCTGACTTACGGGACAGGCGCATACACTTGCCATTGGGTTAAACAAATCAAAATCCTAGACCGACGTCTTTCATTTACGACCACGTGCACAGTAAGACATATAATGGAGAATAAAAACGGGGAATGTGTCAAAGAGAAAACAATCCTACCAAAGTGCAGAAAACAGCACAAGGCCAATAATGGATCTTCAACGCAGCCAGAAAATTCCGCACCCGGAGCCGTGCTTCAGCTGGACACTAAACCATAATGTATACTATTAGGAAAAAACAAAGGATATGGAGTATCCATCCATAACACAAAATCAGTATATAAACAGTAAAAAAAAAAACACTAAAAGCAAAGGAACACCAAGATCATGACTACCCCTTTTACACTAAGAACTAACTGTCTGACTGGGATAAAGTTAACACGACCTTTTCAAGACCATCTTTAAAACAGCATAATGGCACTTACCCTCTATCGTCAACGGCCTGAAAACATATGATGTTTGTCGAGTATTGAATAGGTTTAGGTGTCCATGAAAACTCTGTGCTATATACCTGACCACTTTCATTCTGTAATGGAGTATGTGCTGTGTCATATGGTACCGAGGTAACAATAGTTTGAATCCTGAAATAGATCGAAGTTGCATAAGTAGTAAAATTTAAGTACTAAAAAAAATCAATTAATTCCGTCGAGAAATCAGAATAATGCGCCTATAAATAAGAAATAATAAGGATGCAAGATACAATAGAAACCATAGGAATATAACTCCATCAGCCTATAGTGGGTTAAAACATTGCATACAAGGTCAATCTGCAAAAATAATATCATGTTATTAATTTTTATTACTGTTTAGAACAACAGCAGTTTCCCCTGATATTATAACCCTTTTTTTCCAGATATGATAGTATACAAATATATCACCTATCATTTAATTCAATTACTGGATATGATAGGGTAAGCTTAAATCACTTAACAAATCCCAGTAACGACAAAATTTCAATGCAAACAATTTTGTCTTTTTTTTTAGTTTTTTTTTCTGTCACAACTTTACCTCACAGCTGGTGAATTAAATTTTGCGTATATTTTCTGTTTGAATGTGTCTCCTTTAGGAACAATAAACACTTGTCCATTTGGTGGAGTTGGGTTTTCTATTTGTGGAATATCAGAACACGTTGTGGAAACTTTCACTGTCGTTACAACAAACTGGAAAGAAAGAAAAAAAAACAGCAGATAACATACGGCATTTTACTAAGAAAATAGCATGTTTATGTTGAATGTCAGATTATAATTTGTTATGAAGATTTGGAAGGTGGATCCCATTCAGACACATACCTGTAGTGGTACCTGACTCAGTGCAGTATTTGGGTTAACAGTACTAGAACCAACTGTGATTGTGGTGTGTGGAGAATCTTCTACGGTCAACGTGATTATGTAGGTTCCATTATGGATAAATCCTGTAACAGTCTTTGGTTGTATTGTTAAAATACATCTTTGCTGAAAACACAAGAAAAGAAAACGCATGCTTAGATAGGATGTGTATAAACGTTTCATATTCTACAAGAATATTTAATAAAAAAAAAACCAATACTCGATACCGTTGCTGGTGCAATATCAGTCCTCCAATAGCTCAGAAGTCAGTACTTCGTCACTGACATGATTTATAACTTTTTAAAATTCTTCGTTGGTAAATTTAGAAAATTATTAGAAAACTTAGGTTCCAACTCCCTCAGGTAAACTAACCCTTATGTGGATTTGGTTACTCTTTTTGTGTCCCTTTGATCATAGCAGTTTAATATTCAATAACTTATTACCCCATTAGGCTTCAAATTTTTGGGTATGAGCGTTCCTGATAATCTAGGAAAGCGCTTTATCGTCAAATTATCATCAAATTTATAAACTGTTATTTTCATCATTTAACCATTCGAATCTTAGTGCAATACAACCACTAAAAATAAAACATTCGTCGTTCTGGTTTCCTTGCTGAAGCGAAATTGTCAGCTTAATATTCAATACAAACCGATGTCCTTTAAAGATTTCTAGCTAGGGTTTCGTGTGATTTTTTGCCTCTCTATCTCATCAACAATTCATGGACATAGTTACACTATGCTGAATACTTAACAGTCGAATATTTTAAAACATTTAATCTTATATTAATGCTTACCGAATCTAGTTTTGATTCAGGTAGCCCATTACAAACGCCACCGCACTCTACACCAGCAGACCATCGACATGAGGTAACATCGCCATCCGGGTCATATACTGGAAGCTGTATACTGGTAATACAGTCAAATGGTATTCTGGAATAACGAAAATGTTGTTAACTTCATCTCCATATGTATTAATTTGTGACCATTTGCTAGCTATAATACATTTTTGTTTTTGTTTGGTTTTGCGCATTGACAGCTTATTTTTACTTCGTTGAGTCATTATTTTATAAGACTGATATATTATATATATTTGTCTTTTTGGCTCCCAAATGTAAGAAAGATTATAAAATAATAGACGCATACGATCATGTAGACACAATAAACAAAAAACTATAAATAGTACCAAGGTTCTGTTCGTCTTTATTTTCGATCGAAATTCTTTTACGAAAGGGTAACAAACAAACAATGTCTGCATATATAATATACACGCTTTACAATTCGATTGACGACTAAAGAATTTTAACTCTAGCTAATCAAATAAGTCTGTGTGTAAAATGTCATTTCACAAAAACCTAGACCTCAGGTGGCCGATCTGTTAACAAATATTTGTACGTCAAGTCAAAGAATAGATTTGATTCCTCTGTAACTTTTTGAGATGAAAACTGGATCAATCAATAATACCGAGTATTACTTTTAAGATTGGTTTAGTCCGTTATAAATACAGTGGATCAATTAGAGGATATAACTTTTGCCATAATATATTAGAGCTACCATATTGCAATGTGAATAAATTAGAGTTTGCTTTTTACAGTTCTTTGGCACACAAAAAAAAAAAACAACCTTGAACAGAGTATACTGTTTTTTATATAACAGACGGTGCTTATTTGATGTTTTTTCTCAACAAATGCAATACCTAGATTAAACACTAAACCCCAGATAATAAAACTTCTGCAATATACATGTATTTCAGCTTATAGGTTTCACTTCCTCAAATCTTTTTGACATCTAACATTGATATTAGACTTCTTTTTTTCAAAAATAGTATTATCATGTATTTCTGTATCACTCGTAACTTAATACTTTTACCTTAAATGAAACTTAAACACATCTCATAATTTAAAAAAGCTTTTGTAATTAAACAGACATCAAATTAACCAAAACAAAATTCACATATGTACACTTTTTAAAGAATCATATGATCTGGACCATAACATATCAATGCCAGATTGCTGGGAAAAGATGAATATATCTTATGACTGCCAAACGGTCAATACCAATTTTAGTGGGTTTTAAGTCCTTGAAGATATTATTCAAACGGTATATTATGATGTTGTCTCTATAAAAAAAAATGAACGTAAGTTCATTGTGTAAATCTTAAATCTTCATTTTTTTTCAGGCAAACAGTTTCATATGTTTTTGTTATATTTCAAA